AACATATTCACAATAACAGATTTTTTTTTGCTAATCATGCCGAAAAGCAAACACGCATTATAACTGTGTACTCCGGGCTTACTGATTAGGCATATGTGCCGTTTAGCATTTGCAATGGCATTAAATGTTTGGTACTAAAAGCTTCAGAACACTCCAATCAATCAGATCCTAAAAATTGCGCACTACCGACCGACAATTTTATTCAGAAACAAAGTCAGCGCCAAAATTGCAATCTTGCATCAATGTTATTCTATTGGATTACAAATAAAATTGTTCATTTTTCAATTGAAAAGGTACTAGAGATTATATAAAACGATCTTCAATGCTATTGTGAAAGAAGCACCTTCTGGACTAAAATAGCTTAATATTTTTTTGCCGAAATCGGTTAGAAATGAGGAAAAATGATTTCAAAAATGTATATAATAAGCAATAAATTATTGATTGCTTTTGATCATCTTCACACGAATTGTCTATGAACTTTAACCAATCCATGTGATGAAAATCTATTATCATCGTTCAAGATCATTCTTTTTATGCCAAGTTGAGCGGCATTGTTTGCTGAAAATATTATAAAAGAACAATTAATCACCAATGATGCGTATAAATTTTGTCAATTTAAGCTATTTCTTCCTTTTATTGCACGTAACGCCCTGTTTGGGAAAAAACGCAAAAAAATCGGTGTTTTTACAGATGGCAGATTTTTTTGTGGCGGATCTGTGGAATTATTAAATATTTTTTTGTTTTGTCACATTTTCGGAGAGTAGTTTTATTATGATTTGCAAAAGAGACAATGCCCTTTTTAGTTTAATATTTATTATTCCACGCCCCCTGCTGAAATAAAGATACCTGTCTAGCAATTACACGCCATTGTAGTCTTGTTCACCCTGTAATATATTTTAATATACTCTCAGTGGCTTGTATTACAAGTTTAAACTAACACTGCATTATACTTACTGAAAGGGTTGGTTGTCATTTTTTCGGTACTTGGACCTGATATCTATTTCTTAAACCCAATTTTACCATGGTCAAAGGACGTGAAATTTTACGCCCGGGGTCGGGTTGAAATAATTCTAAAGTATATTGTACATTATTCTTTACAGTACCAGTGCTAATCACAAAGTTCGACAGCATTGAGAGAAGGCCGAAGTCTAACTATGTCTTAAAATTAGGATACCCAGAAATGGGTTTGAAGTTATAACTTATAACATCTCTCAGGAAAAATGATCGGATACGAGCCTTTTTTGAAGTGAAATAATTCAATTATTAGTATCCTTTTCCCATTTTTGACTTTAGAAAGTATTCCTTAATGATACACATTCTGTCATATTTTTACCTGATTTCATGAACTTACTTAAATATTTGGGATCAAAGAGTTAATTTAACCGCGAAACAAATATTTTTAAATGTCTACCTCGTCCATTAACTTCACAGCTTTTCGTCGTCATCTTTATAAATTTACTCCAACTTTGACCCAATTTACCGCGGTTTTCTTTCTCGCATTCAATCTTCTATTTGGAGCAACAGGTTTGATACATTTTACGCTAATTTGAGTTTTTGATTGTATTAGTTTTTGCAACTGATAGCTAAAAATCAATATTCATATTATCGTTACGAAGTTCTGAAAAAAAACTTTATTATGCATTTTTTATACTGTTTTTGTATTGAAATTTTCCGTTTTCAAAAGTTTTCTTTCTTGTCAAGTTTATTGTCCGAAAATTGGACATATTTTTCATCACAGTTGTAGCATTTTTGTAATGTTATTTACGGCTAGACAACAGGTAGCAATGACTAAGAAGACGACTTCTGCCGATAAAGCCTTTACTGAGATTAGGTCTTAAGCAGACCGGTTTTTTAGCGGAACGATCGTCAGCAGACCTAAGCAATTCAGAAGTCAGAGAGTTAGCATCAAACGCGTCATTGACAAGTAGCAATATTTGCTCCGTTTCGCTATGCTGCGCTTATATTCGGCACAAGAGGAATATTTCAAGTGAATCAGTGTTCAACTTGTGTCTAGATTTTTGTCTACAAACGGTTAGCTATTTTACTTAATTAAGGAAGCTCAACCCCAAAGTAGGCGTCTTTATACGTCTGTCAATGAAATATGCGTCAGTTGCAATTCGTAGTTTTATCTACCAATGATGATATCTGAGATATAAAACACAATACTTGACTCGATGGGTTTGCAAGTTACAATTTATCTAGCCTCCATTTAACTCTGACGTCAGCTGCACAAAATTTGAAAAATAGTCATGAAAGGGTTAAATTACTGAAAATTATGCCAGAAAAGAGTTTGGCATCTTTCTATAAAAAAAGCATAAAGTATTGAAAATATCTAAGAATCAATAGTAGACAGTTTAATTAAGAAGTAATTTGAAGTAGTTTTTGTAGTAATCGAAGTAAAATGTTGAAGTAGTTTTTGTGCCGCCAATTAGTGATGAAAATCTTAGTTTTTGTAAGAATATAAAATTTAAATAAATCAATGACACTGACTTTTAGTTTTTTTTTGCTATAAAAACGTTGCTTCAGAGCACCGATTAGAAAAAAGTTTGAAAAAAACCGACATATCTTAACCCTATGTAAAAAAAATACGAAAAAAAAATTTAGATTCAAGTTAAAATAAACTGGGCCATATCGAGACATGGTTTAAACTTTTGCTGTCATTCATTTTTGAATTTGGGAAAACTCTAATTCTGTCACCTCGTTAACCTATTTTTTAACACAGGCAGCTAAATTTTGTAAAGTTTGTGAAATATAGTTGAGTTATCCTCAAACTTTTTACGACATGAGCTTTTGTTTCTTTTGTACAAATTATGTATGTTTTCTGCATTATTTACACATTACAAAAGCCTTTTAGTTTGAGTAAATGCAGTTTTATTTCTTGCAGATGAGGAAATATGCAAAAATTTGATGATTCGACCAAAAACGTATCTGAGGAGCCATAATTTTTTTTAAAATTCAAATGTAGATCTGTTTTCGTATGTGTATGCTTTAATAACTCTTTGTATAAACACTGCTTGTATCACGGCGAAGACTCAGCTGTTTCGACTGCCCTTTAACTGGTCTCGAAAAACATTTTGGCAAGTTTTAACATTTGTTTCTATTTCCTCCGTAACAACCGACAGTTACAATTAGCTGTTATCAAAATCATTTGAACAATTAGTTTACCTCAAATTAAAATGCAGTGATGTTAGGTGCGCGATCAATTTTTCGATGTTTTCATCAATTCTTGAAGTTCTACAAAAGTAGTCTAGAATGTGACCAGACTGGCGGTTTTCAAATTTCGATAAGTTTTTAAGAATGATCTCACCTAAAAAAAATCTATTTTAAATGAAAGAGTCAAAAATCATCAAAGGGATTAAAATAATGTTTCTTGGATCGCTAAAATTGGTCTGACTAAAAATACAACAAACAAAAATCAGAAACATAGTACAATTGTATTTATCATACTTTACAGAATTATTTAATAGTGAAAAATTTTCAATTAGTGAGTGCTTTCGTGGCGAATGTTTGTATAGACACCAATCAAACTATGAGTTTCTCTAGAATACCTTAATAAAAACATGTGTCCGCTAGTTTTGAACAACAGTATTGGAATGTCGCTGATTAAAGTGTTAATCAAAGCTACTGGGATTTATTGGGTGTCTTCATGAGATCTCTCATTATGTTTTAGCTTTTTTTTTAGCTTAGAGTTGATTTCAGAGCACGTTTTTTTTCGATTAAAATCAAAATGCTTGGTGTGCTTGTCTTTGCTGAAGTCACTTTGACATCGTCGTGCTCTTAGTTTCGAAAAGCTTAAACTATTCAATCAGAAAGACACTAAATTGTTTCTTCACACAGAAACAGAAAGGCATGCTCAAGTCTTGGGCCATCTGAAAATTGATAAAGGTGGGTTGGCCACTGCTTTTTCTAGCAGTGAAAGAAAAAGAACAGCGAGTAATAAATGAAGATCTGAAGCATCTGTCGTGATACATTGGTTTCTTGAAAGAACAGCAAAAAATGTACTGTTTCCAAGTGGAGTTACTTGGAAACAGATCTGTATTCGCACCAGTTGATTTCGCGGGAAGAAAAGAAACAAACAATACGTTAAATTAGGCAATTTATTCGATACTAGCCCTGAAAACAAAAATTTGTTCCGAACACCAAAATTGATTTAAAAAAAAAACATTATAAAAAAGCCAGATGAGCTGGAGTGCTATTTGTTTTTGGAGGCATTGTAATTGTTGTCGCAGCTGCAATAAAATATTTCACAAAAAAATAAGTGCTAAAATAAAACGATGCTAAAATAAAACACTGCAGGCAATTTTTTGAAGAAACATGCCAAAAAAGACGTTTTAGGCACTTTTGAAGACAATTTTGACCAAAAAATGGTGTTTTCTTTCGCGCGCTTCCACCTCAAAATTATTCCATATGTTGGCGCCGATCCGAGGGTGCCTTTAGAAAACTTTTAGGGTCAACCAGCCAAAATAGAGGTTTTAAAATAGTACCAACGGGGCGATCCTTGAGGTAGTCAGGGGGTGGAATCCCCGAGGGAAGTGAGCGTCTGCCCCCCCCCCCCACCCGCTTCTAATTTAAATCTGCTACTGCCTATTTCTCTCAGTCAAAAGGTTGCCGTTTGAGGCTAACAGTGGTTGTGCTAGGTGCTTTTGGATGCAGTTACATCACCTATTTCAAAAAAAAAACTGTACTTTGTTCTTCAGCCGTGGTCCTTTAGCTTTTCTGTAAACTGCGTTTAGACAATTATACACTGCAGTAGTGGATGGTGAAAGGTGGTAGAATTTTTTTCTTTGAGAGTTTGACCCCCTGACCGCCATTTTGTTCTTTTTTTTGGCTTCCGTTTTTAGTTTACAACTCTAAACGTTTTCTAAAGGCGTGCGTCCGATTGGAGATCAAAACCTTCCAAAAACTTCCTAAAAAGCTCGTATTTCTTTTTCGAAACCCCCCACCCCTCACGAAACTCCTAAATCCTCGCCTGGTGCACTGTGACTATGATACTGTTTCAGCCTACACTCAAGAGGCGGAGATCCTCATGCCGACAGACATCTACGCCGTCAAGGGGGTGGAACAGGACGCCATCCTGGAGTGCCAGATATCTGGATTCACCCCACCTGGTGATGGAAGTGACACTTCGTCTGGGGACCAGTGGAGCATCACGTGGCACAAGGAGGGGGAGGACTTCTCTCTTGTGACCAACTTCATCGGGCTCACTTATTCGGTCGATAAAAACAAGGTACGCATTATTTAAAAAACTCAACTTATTTTGCTTGCTTTGATTTCGTTACTCACTTCTAATTCATTGGAAAACTAACTTGTAAAATATTTAGATAAAATCATTCGTTATTGAAAACATCGACTGAAAAGACTTTCAAAAAACAAAGAAATTTCAAGAAAAAAATTTAAAACCTAACAGAAAAAGAACCTGAAGCCTTTTCTGACCCTTTAATAATATTCAATACAGACTTTGAGTTTTCAACAGGTTTTCTCCCATGATTTTAGTTTCAATTCTTCCCGCTTTTTCCAGTTTAACATTGCTTCCAACTGCATCCTAATTTTACTCTCTCTGAAAATTGAACTACTTTCAGTTGCCGCATTGCAATGAATTGCTTCTTTTTTTCTTCTTATTGCCTCTTTGAACTGACCTTCCAAGCTCTTTTATGTTACATTGAAGTTCACCTTTCACCTTTAATTTTCTAACCAGAACTTCAGAAATTTTTAGTTCGACCTATGTCAAATATTCAAAATAAGGTTCAAATCTTGTAGACGGATTTAAATTTGCCTTTTCTCATTAGAAGTTAAAACTGACATGTCAAAATTTGACCTTTGAACTTTTATGTTGTCATATAACCAAAGTTATACCTAGAGTTTTCAGTGTTACTTTCAGTGGACACATGACCTCCTGACTGATGATTTGTTGTGTTTCTGATCCAGCAAGTTTGCAAGTGGGATCTCAACCGACAGAATAGGAGAGAGTGGTGCTTCGACAGAGGAGACCCCCTCGTCCCCACTCTTACATCATTATCAACCCCTCCCCACGACAACAAAAAACACTGCACAGTACGATGAACAACCGCAACCCCCCCCCCCCCAGCCCCCAGCCCCCAGCCCCCACCTCGTGCCCAAGATTTATTATTCATTTTCTGATATTGCTTCTCTCAGGAGGGGCTGCCAATACAAAACCATCTATAATTCAACTGAATAAAAAAATCTAATAACAAGTCAAAATCTATGATAGCAAGCCAAAAAATTTGCTGACCAAGCTCAGGTTGTTACAAAAGCTTCGAATTTCCGAGAAGTCAATTTAATGCGGTTGAATTACAAATGGATTACAACCTGTAGTAGTATTGACAAATGAATAACATTTATTGAAAGCAGGGGCGGATTTAACGGACCCCTTTTCTCTCAGCGATTCGAGCATCTCGGGATTTTGAGATACTTGATACTATTTTACTTCCATTTTGAATTGCTCAACGAACCAAAAACTTTTAAAGTCGCTTTAGTTGCTAATAAACAAAAAAATCTAGGAGGGAGCGCGCACCAAAAAAAAATGCATTTTTTTTGGTCAAAACCTTGCAAAAAGTGCCAAAAAATCCCCCTTTTTTAAATCCCCCATTAAAAACTTTAGATCGGCCCCTGATTTGAAAAATATACCCAAAATTTTCATCCCAGATGAAACTGAGAGACATTTATCATCATCGTAGCATCAAAATTAGACCAAATTTACATATGATCACATCATGATAGTCATATTTCTCACATCACGTATGAAATAATTTGTTGGAAATGTCTGGTAATGAGTGCTTAGGTTTTTAATTTCACAGGAAGACACAGAATTAGCGCAAAAAGCTTGAATTTGAGTTTCGTCCACAGTTTAAGAAAGTGAGATAGTTTTTGGTCTGACCTCTGAGAGTGGGTAGGAACTTGATCTTTGGTTAGATTTTTCTTCTTTTTGCTGTTTCGCGAGTACTATATCAAATTGAAACCCTTTCACTGGTGATGCAAGTGATAATAAAAATTTCTAAAAAATTTTCTCAGTTGTTTTCAAATTTTTTTAGAAATTTTTCATATAATGTATGAATGAAACTGTTGTCAAATGTAACTAAACTGCTTGTTCGAACAATTTTTTTCAAATCTTATCACACCATACCAAAACGCAATGCAAATTGAAAAAGTTGAAACAATCCACTGAAGGCGACAAATTGTCTTGATTGAAAACTCATTGCATGCGACACTCTGTCACAGTGAGCAAAAGCATCATTTCGTCGCCAGACAGTTTTTGACCACAATTTGTTGCTACAGTTATTGATTTAGTTCCTTGAAACATTTCTGATCGAATGGTCGCCTGAAAAAATTAACACAGGTTGTTTCAAGATTAAAAATTTAAGATACTAGTAAAATTCGAATAGCGCTAAAAACTCAAAAATCGCAACAGAGTTTTTATGAAAGCAGCCATTTGCCATGATTTCAGCCTAAAATCAATGAAACAAGTCCAGTTTTTAAATTTAAACAAGACTGCTCGGATCAGGGTGAAGCCTTAAATGTTCCGACTGCCTTTTAAGGTCTATGGAGCAGTAATAATATGAAAAAAATAAATGCAAGGAAAAAAAGCAGAATTTGAAATTTTTTTGATGAAATCATCCCCTCACACGCCATATAAAGTACAAAAGAATAAATTTCGCTCTTTTTAACAAATCATTTATGGTAAATAAGCTTCTTTCAACTAATTTGGAAAGATTTTTAAGACTCGATAAGACTCAGCTTACGCGTTAATATCGCGAAATATATTACGCGTTAATTGATCTAAATGGCAATTTTTAAGCCCTCATAACTTTACAAAAAATGATCACAGATGAAATGTTTTTTTTTCAACTTTAATTTCAAGACAATAATATCTTTGGAATGATATAAAAAATTTCCGTCAAAAATGGCTAGTGAAAAAGTCGAAATTTGTCTGGAGAAAAAAAACCATCCCGAGCCCAAATATTCCGTTACTTTTGTTACGAGAGTCGGAACAAAAAGAATTAAGAAAATTTGACGTAAAGCTACAATCCGTTAGAAACAACATTTGATCAATGAGGGAGAAAAGACAATTCGTTCTTTTTTTCGACAACTCGAAACCAGCGACATTTCATAGCAGCACAATGAGCGGCAAGCACTATTTCACTTGCACTATACCTCTCGTGACGAATGCAAACGAAGCTGAGCAAGCAATCGCTACTTCCTGATTCTTTCTAACGAATTTTTGCTTGTTAAATGGGTTACAGTCAATGAATTGTCATTTTTTTCTAAACAGTACTAGTTGTTGTTTTCGCCAAATGAGATGATAAACTCTCTACATATCCTTTTGTCAAATCTTTTTTCTTAATACAAGCATTATTCACGGTGAAACGCAAAATGCAAGAAAATTACAGAGAACTTAAGCTAATTGAATGTATTCAAATTTGCTTCAAAAGCATTGATCTGTCAAATTTCGTTTATTTTTTTCGACCGTTTTTTAATCAGAAAGAAGAGTTGTCACTTTTTATTATGCGTTCTTCATTTTTGTAACAATATTTTTCCAAACTTTACATTGGTTGTTGAGCACCATAATGCATACATTATTTTTTAAATGGTGTAAGCTAATCGTACCATACTTTAATGAGTTGAACTACAATGACAAAAAGTTGGATCTTTTTTATAAGTTTCAAAACAATTTGTCGTCTCCATTTTTCCATTTCCAAGTTATTCAATGAAAAAGTAATGTAGTCTGACTTTCCCGCACATTGATTTTTGGTACTCATTTTTCTAACCCCGGTCACTTGGTGTTTGTTTTGGGGGAAATTGTTCACATCTCAATGAACGCTTGTCAAGTACAATTCGAATTACATTTTGTATAATTGGAATGGTTAAATTAGCAAGATATTCATTTTCCCCATACACACGATAAATTTCATTAGGTGTTCATTAGGAAAGATTCTTCTGACTTTGGTTAAGTCTAAGTGTACAACTACCTGTACCTGATCAGAAATCAATTATAATTGTGAAGTTGGGATTTTATGAGTGGAATTGTAATTACATTATTGCAGTCCTATTGAAAAGTGTCTTGCATAGTCCCAACTGACGTAATTGAGATTGGTATTAGATTTCAAAAAGCCCTAGGGGATGGAAACTGCCGCAAAAAGTGGCGGAAATGGACACAGCCAGCTAAAAGTCCTTTTAATCAGCTCTAAGCCAAGACCCCCATTTATCTATTAAAAAATCACCAAGGTTAAAATTATAAAGAAAAATTTGCAGTCTAACACTAAGTGAAAAAACGATTCAAACTAAAATTGATGAGCTCATTCGGTTTAGTGGTAATCTGTTTGATACATCAAAATTTCTCGGTGAGTGTTGAAAAGTCGACGTTCTTAAAATCGCATCGATTGAACAGGGATTGTTGTTTGTAAAAGAACGGCAAATTCCTTAAGTCATTTAATACCTCATGAAAAAAACCACCACAGTACCTAAACTCAGAGCGTAAGTTAGCTTTGTCTGGAAAATTGATCCAAAATAGATTCATTGTTGTATGCATGTGGCATTTGTTATTTGTGCATGTTTCTTTCTGTTTGATACCATGAAGAAGACTATGCATGGATACATGATCTGAACCAACATTTTAGAGATATCAGCATCAAAAAGCTCTGGGGTTTAGCTTTGCAGGTAATTGAAAGGGGTTTTATTGCTGATGTCAAAATTATCAGCGCCACTATAGTTGTATATTATATTTTTTTCCGATCAATATAAACGTTTGCGATATCCTTGCCGAGTGTCATTTATTAGATGCATGGTCGTTTCAAAATCACTTCATACATGTCTTGAACTTTTTTCACGTCGTGTATTTTGTGCGAAAAAAATTGCAAACTTTTTGTGGTATTCACATTTGAACCTTAAACCTTTTTTTTCAGTATCAGTTCAGAAACGTGTCAGAAGGCTCTGGAGTCTGTTCATTCATCATCCGCAATTTCGACCAATCAGACGAGGGCAACTATTCGGTGTCTGTTGAGTACAAACAGAAGCGGACGAAATATGTCTACCTACACATAGTTGGTAAGTTGACATTCAATAACAGGAAGTGTCATTCTTAAGCAAACGTTTTTGGCATATTACAAAATTTACTTCTTTTTGGCATATTACGAAATTTGCAACATGCATATGATTTGACTGCGGTTTACAAACTTGTATTCATAAAAATCGCATTTGGTCAAAGAAATGAAAATTTTTTTGTGCCGTGCGATTATAACTCACCTTTCATGGCTCGAAGCTTAAATATTCTTTTAAATTTTTTTTTGTTTGAACAGAAGGTTTTTAGTTTATTTTTGAAAATTTTAAGTTTAATTCATGCAAACATTCCACATGACAAAAATTTTGAACGGCTGAAAATTTCACATGACAAAATTTCAGATCAATCATATCCGAAGGAGTGTGAGATCACGAGCAACCTGCCCGACAGGATCCGAGAGGACGAAGGAGATGTCACTCTCACGTGCACCTTCTACGAGGCATTTCCATTTGTGAGTATCTATCTAAAAAAATGTTTAAAAAATCGGCGTCCACCCACTGGTGAATTTTTACAAGTTATGTTTTTGTTCACATTATTTGATTGTAACAAAAATTGGCATGTGAAGTAGCTAGCTGGCTTTGAAAATATATTTGGTTTTCAAACATAACCTCGGAAAACTCCTTGTGACGCCAAAAAATGATGAATTGATGCTTATGTGAGGTGTAGGTTGGGAATAGATTTTTTATTTAAACCAACCAGGCTTTTTAATTCAACCAGGTTGTTTTAATTTGAGGTGTAGATGGGCGTTTTTGTTGTCTTTAGACAGCAATTTTAGTCAAGCAAAAAGAATTGAGTATTTTGAAACACTGCTCAGCAGGGCTTTATTTCCTCCCCCCTCCCACCTCACATAAGCATCGATTTCATGGTGTAACGAGTGGTTTTACAAGGTTAGGTATGACGACCAAATATGTTTGTCATGGCCTAATCCGACAATTTGAACAGAAAAATTAAACCAAAAAAATTGCAGGTGGGGAAAAGGAAAAAGAGCCCTCAGCAGTTTCAATGCGAATTAAATATTTGAAATGAAAATCTAAAGGGAAATATTTCTAGTGATCCATGTTAACCTAGTTTCTTATTCACGCGATCAGGGATACTTTGGTTAGTCAAAACTGTCGATTTTCTGGAAGGGATATGGGAAATGAAGGGATGTCTCTCCGTATGGATGCTGCTACTGCCCTCCCTTTTTATCATGGTTTTCACGAAGAACTAAAAATTTTTGGCCATATTTTTTAAAGAAAATATACAGCAAAAAACTGATAACTTAAAAACTGAAAACCAAAACTTAATTTTTATAACCTTAGAGGAATGTGGTAACTACCATTTTAATTAGTTTTGCCCTCATCTGAACATGCAACCACCTTCTGCTAATAGTAAGTAAAGAAAAGGCAATTTGAAACTGTTCTAACAATTTCGTCGTTAATTTTGTGTCTATGATTCGAAACAGTTTGTTTGACTTTTTCAGAACTTTTCGACACCACGCATTTTGTAAATATTCGACACCACGCAGAGGCAATTTAACCTGTTTCAGCGCCGCCGAGAGCTATTAGGTAATCTAGGTACCATTTATCCAGAAAAAAATTATGGATTAAAAAAATAGAAACTTCGAATTTTTATAATTCACTTTTCTTGCATCTTGTTGGTATCTTTTTTAAGGAATATCTTCAGAAAAACAACAAAAAATTTCAGACTTGAAAAAAATATATTTTAATTTCGATTACTTTATTTCAATTAAAACAATATTTTTTTGGGTGTTCGCTGTATGATCCAAAAATTTTCAGACTTGAAATAAAAATATTTGTTTCCATTGCCTTTTTTCAATTATAACGATATTTTTTTCGGGTGTACGCTGTATGATCCACGCTGTTTTTTTTTCTAAAAAGCTCGAAATTTTCTTAGCAAAACAATTTGTTGAAGTAGTCGCAATCAATCAAATAGGTAACTCTTATTTCATGCATTAGGTTGATCTTAGACGGTTTAGGCTCAAATTTAGGCTCCTAAATTTAGGCTCCTAAATTTGCTACTGGTTGGGTTACTTTCTTGCTCTAGTAATTGAAAACAAACTAAGTTAAATGCAAATCAACGTTTTTTTTTTTTAAATTTAGATCACGATGAATAACATCGGCTGGGCTAAAAACGAAATACCTATTCCTAATTACGACAAACTGCCAGAGTCAGACCGACTGGCCAACTCACAGTGGCAAAACACGGAAATGTCGATCAACAAAAACAGAGCACTCAACGCGTTTGATCTCAAACTGTACGAAGTTAACAGACGAGACACCGGAGTTTACAGCTGCTCTACAATTGGAGCATCGGGTCGACCAATCAGATGCGAGTACGAGCTGAAAATATCCTGTAAGTAAAAATCAAGCCTTTTTTGCTGCGATGTAGATAATCAAGTAAAAGCATGTATAATCATATCCTTAAAAACTGCAGATTTATCCTTATGCGAAAAGTATGCTACAAAAATCAAATATATATATATATATATATATATATATATATATATATATATATATATATATATATATCTTAGTACTATTAACAGAACTAAATTGAAGAAAAAACGTTCATGCGTTGTGTACATTCTAAATCAGGCACGAGCTTACAGTATTTAATACTTTTCAGCAAATGGAGTAGTGGAATGATATGACTGCACGGTAGTTAAAAGAGCTGTCGGCGGATCTAAAATTTTCTCGAGAGGCGAGGGTTTTCAAAAACTTTTTGATACGTTGATACTTTTTGATACTTCAAAAAACAGTTTTATTTGAGTAAAACTTAGTGTTTACGGCTTCAACTAAGAGTAAATAAGCTATTATAAGCCTGCTTGCTTGCTTTACTTGCTACTTGCTCGAAGTTAGACGAAAAAGCAAAAATTTCAAACCTGTTTTTCTCTACACTGGGAAGTTTTTCTGACATTTTTCAAATGTCGTTTGGATCATAACTGAAAAGGTGCTAATATAATATATCACTCGATTGATTCTGATGATAATTTGTAGTAGCCGATTTTGTGTGGAAACAAAACAAGAATAACTGGAACACACCCGAGCACAAAGTTCTCCGCCTTTTTCAATTGTCTAAACAAAGATATAATGAAGAAGTTAGCATCAAAAGTAAAAAAAAAACCAAAAAAGTTTCTAAGAAGAACGATTGTCCCACTTGACCAACGAGTATCAAAAATTTAAAACCGACGAAAACATTCATTGAAGGAGCACAGAAATTTGTTTGGAAAAATTATTTTTAACTCACCGTAGGAACCTTACTACTAATATGAAAATATCTCTCATTGAAACTTTTGTTTCGTGGTAAAGCTTTTTGTTTTTGTTCAGATGAACCAAAATGTGACAAGACATCTCACTTTCAGAGATGCTGCTATTGACAGAAAATGAGAACTCATAGAATCAAGTTAAAGTATTTTGTGACTTAGTGTGACAAAGTTGTGGCAAAATAAGAAATTATATATAATTCTCGAACGCACGAAAAGCCTGGAGCAACACGAAA